GCCTAAGAAACATGAATTTTATTATCCGAGGTTTCCTCTGCCGCTCGCAGCTGCAGGAGGAAGATGCTTTGAATCTTTATTTTTTTCCCAGATTTAAAACCGCAGAAGTGACCGCTTAGGACGTGGCCGAGAGGGAGACCGGCTTACGAGGTTTAAAACTGAAAGCCCAAAGCGGATTTAATTTAGAATTTGCACTGAATGTTGCTTGTGGGGCCCTGGTTATATAAATTATACATTTGTAAAAAGGCCTCCTCCCACTTGATAAATGCAAAAGTCATAACATCCTGATTTGGGCGTGACTGTTTTCCTTCAAATACAAACTGGAGAGACATGAGGCTGATCGTGATTTAGGGGATGATTGTAAATTAATAAAGAAGTTAGTGTTTGGGTGCTTAAAACAGCTGTCGGCCCTGATTTAATTCATGCTTTAGGCTAGCCAACTTTGAAATCTGGAGTCAGTAAATGAGAAAATGAGCTCATCTGATTATCATAGCTATTTTCATCTGCAGGCCTATTTTGCTTATTCATTTTATCATGTATTTATTTATGCTCTCCCAGGGAATTTAAGCCACATCCCAGCTTTTCCACCTTTTATCTTTACAACCACAGCCCCAGGTAGATTAGATCTGAGAAAAAGTTACTCGCCCATATGAATATTTATGGCATGAAAATTTGAACTGGAATGTTCGTTTTCTGCTCCAACACGTCTTTTTAAAAACTTGCTCTTAAGTCCTGCGTTTGGCTTTTATCTTCTTATATTGTGCTGCGGTGTTATCTGTGAGTGCATTATTTATGTGAAAAGGATTGCAATAAAGTTGAGCAGAAATTTTAGAAACTTAGCTATAAGCAAAGATTTGCAGTAGGTGGCAGCATGTAGCCAACCTTGGCTGATCTTGAAAAAGCTAAGCAGATGAGACCTAGTGCTTGGATGGGAGGCCACAAAGAATCTAAGGGCTATAAGGCTGACAAGCAAATAAAGACTAGCTGAAGATAAAGGCAAGCTGCCTCCATATTGTTGCCAAAAAACAGCCTGACCATGGCCTTAAAATTGCCAGACATCAAGCATATTATAAGGGTGATTTTTATCTTTGAATCCAGTATTTTTCAACCTTGGCAACTTTAAGATGTGTGGATTTCCCAGAATTCCCCAGCTAGCACCTTGGAATTTGGAAGCTGAAGTCTGTGCATCTTAAAGTTGCCAAAATTGAGAAACCCTGTTTTAACCTTAAAAAAATCTTGTAAGGTGGGACAGTTATTTCTCTATTACAGAAAAGATGGGAATGGGAGGTTTTATGTCTCATGATGTTTTATGTTTTAAATTCAGCATCCATCTTTAACTTTTTCAAATTATTTTGGAAACGAGGCCAAACTTGGAATGAAGAAAAAGTCAAGTCAATTGAAATGAAGCTATGCCATGAAAACTGAGATAGGGATGTATCTAATTTAGGAAAGTGCAAATAATCTGGGAGGCTTTTCTTTTTAAACCTAATGGAAGCTGCTGCCAGGACCAACAGGATTATTGGTTATTTGTATACAGTACCATTACAGGTTCTTTTAAATCAGCATGCCTGGCTGAGGAATTCTGGGAGTTGAAGTCCACAAGTCATAAAAGGGCCAAGTTTGAAGACCCCTGGTTTAAACTTTACCCAGGTCAGTGGGCTCTAAGACCCCAGGGAGCCAACAGAACCACACAAGTATTTTGGCAACACCCACCCAAACACTCGAAGGCTAGTGCTCACTGCCCACACTTTTACTACAGCTCCTATTGATTCAGTGACGGTTCAAAGTCACAATGACACTGAAAAAAAATGACTTATGACCGTTTCTCACACTTACAACTGTTGTAGCATCCTCATGGTCACATGATCCAAATTTAGATGCTTGGCAGTCGGCATGTATTTACGATGTTTTCAGTATGCCAGGGTCACGTGACCATCTTTTGCAACCCTCTGACAAGCAAAGTCAATGAAGTTAAGTGAATCTCTGCAGTTAAGTCAGTAATACAGTTGTTAAGTGAATGTGGCTTCCCTGTTGACTTTGCTTGTCAGAAAGTCACAAAAGGTGATCACATGACCCCGGGACACTGCAACCATCATAAATATGAGTCAGTTGCTAAGCAGCTGAATTTTGATCATGTGACCATGGGAATGATGCAATGGTCGTAAGTGTGAAAAACAGTCATAAGTCCCTTTTTTCAGTGCTGTTGTAACTTTGAACAGTCACCAAATGAACTGTTGTGAGTCGAGGGACACCTGTACTTTTTCAGTAACTCAAGGTGGTGATCATGAATGATACAAGTACAGATACTCCTCGACTTGCGGCCACAATTGAATCCAAAATTTTTTGTAGCTCAGCAAACAGAATGACATTATCACATCGTAGCAGACCAGTCATCATTTGGCTGCCCCCTTACCTCCCCCTATGTGTTTTATATGACAAAGATATGTGTGTTATCTTGACATTTATTAGAGTATATATAGTAGCATAATATGAGACACTATGCTTCTACGAACTGTAATCCACAAAATCTTATGCAATATATTGGCAAAACCATATTTATATGGTACTAATAGTCCTTGATTTACAATAATTCGTTTAGTGACCAAAATTACAATAGCAGGGGGAAAATGACTTATGACCGGACGTTGCATTTACAACCATCATAGCTTTCCTCACAGTCACATGATCAAAATTTGGGTGCTTGGGAATCACCATGTGTTTACGATGGCTGCAGCATTCCAAGATCATGTGATCACCATTTGCGACCTTCCTCACCCACCAACTTCCAAGAAGCAAGGTGGGTGGGGGAAACTGGATGCACTTAATGACCTATCATACTTATGACCATTGCAGCATCTCCCTGGTTGCATGATCAAAATTCAGACCCTTGGCAGCTGAATCATATTTATGATGGTTGCAGTGTCATGTTACCACCTTTTGCGATCTTCTGACAAGCAGAAGTCAATGGGGAAGCCAGATTCACTTAACAACCGTGTGACTAACTTAACAATTGTAATGATTCACTTTACAACAGTGGCAAGAAAGATTGTAAAATGGGGCAAAACTCATTTAACAACTGTCTTGCGTAGCAACGAAAAATTATTTGCTCAATTGTCATTGTAAGTCAAGGACTAGCGGTATGGAGTTAGCTTGCTACTGTTTTTTTTTCAATTTCCTAGTCCAGAGATTTCCTGGTAGTCCTCCATCAAACTACTATCTAGTTTCAATCCTGCTTAGCTTTTTTGATATCAGTCAGATCAGCTGGATCTTGACACCATCTATGATGTCAAGCGCCAATATACCTGTGACTTTTGAAATTATATCTCCACCTGATGAATTTCCCCATTCTTTCCCATGAATTAGTGTTTTCTAGTTTCCTATCCGCCCAAAAATCAGCTTTAAAGTGGGTCAGCCCTTGGTGACTTCATTTCCTTCACATTTATTGTCAGGTACTTTATAAGGCTGTTTTTTTAAAAAAAAATCAGCAAAAGGAATGTTTATCTCTAGTTACACCTGTTCTAGAAGGAGTCTAGAAATAACAACTTGACTTTTATGATATGAAGTTATTTGAAGTCAAGACAAGGTAGGGAAACAAGGATAAAGGTCATGAAATGTAAGGATTTAGAGAGAACCATGCTAATAGATGTGGCACAGATTAAAGAATTTCCTGAAAGAGTGAAATATCCAATCCAATTTCAATTCAAAAGTGGGCCCAAAAAGCTGTACACTTTCCCCAACCTGCTTTTCTGTAGATCCAGCTACTTTTTAAAAATCTTTTACTGAAAAGCAACAACCCACCGCAGAGACGGGAAACCCATAAAAACTGTAGTAGACCACAGAAGTATGTGGAACATCATTTTTAAAGAATAGAGAAACCTCCAAATTGCCCCCATTATGCAAGCTCCATAAACTGTAATTTGTGGGGTTCATTCACACAAGATGTGGCAGACACAAATATAGGGCATTTGACTATGAAAGGTTCAGTATTATAATAGACCAGAGATCTATCCTCAGCTATTTATAAGAAGTAGAACATCCATATTAAAAGGCAGCCAATCTCTGAGCTCCTCAGATATGGGACAGTTTGACAAAATATCTTCTTTGCCATCATTTTCCATTTCATTGCATTGTTCTCCATCATGGATTTACTGTTTTCATTTTTATTCCAGGCTCTGGGCTCTGTCCTAATTTAACCTCCTCCTCTTAAAGGCTGCTTTTTTTTACTACTGTCATTTAACTGTTTTTATTTCACTTCTGCTAAAACCCAGTAATAGCCATTACTAAATACATTAGTCTGGGTGAAATATGTAGAACAGGGTTAGAAGGGGGGGGGGCAAATTCAACATATATTTAGGGGAAATTATACTATCCGTGTGCTGTGGAGAACCAGGAAAGTATTAACAGTTCTGTCAGAGGATCCCAATTCAACCCCGGGCACGCTGCTGACAGATGGCGCTCGGGAGTCGCAGACCAACCAGATTATTAAACGCTCTTTGCCGTCTCTTCGCTTTCCCCCCTCCTTTGTCCCTCGGTCTGCGCGCTGGCTTGCTCGGAGGCGCTTTGGGGCGCTGGAGGCGTTAGGAAGGGCCATCCGGGGCAGGTGCCGCTCACCTGGGCCGAGCAGGGAAGCCCCCTTTCAGGCGTCCGTCGCTCCAGCCCGGCCCTGATGGCGCGCCGGCTGCCGCCTCAGCCCAGCTCCGGTCCTGTACTCGCCACCCTCCCGTCCTGGCGGCTGTGAGACCAGCCCCGGCTGCTTTCTTGGCTCGGATGAGCCGCCCGCATCCCGACGCCGCACTGCGATGCTGTTTTCCTGGTGCAGCCCTCAACCTTGAGCTCGGGAGCCACGATGCCAGAGACTGGGGCGGCAGGACCGGCGGCGAGCGTCCAGGAGAACAAGCGAGGGGGAGGCGCGATGGATGGGGAGACGGCCGCACCACCTGCCACCGGGGTCCTGGGTGAGTAAGCGCTGCCCCGGGCTGCCGTCCCGGGCCATGGGGTGGCGATGGCGGCGCGCGCGCGGGACCGTGGCTAAACAAGGGACCGCACCGGCGGCTTTTCCGCAGTCGGCCGTAGATGTTGCTAAGCGCGGACTTTGTCGAAGTTGGGGAAGACTGGAGGGCGGCTGCGTCCCTTCCACGGTGGAGATACCGGCTGGAGGGCGCCGCCTGGGAAGGCGCGCCTGTGCGGGCGTGGAAGGGGTTGCAGTCGCGCTGCCGCCGCCGCTAGTCTATTGTCTCGCAAGCGGGCGTGACTCCCCCGACCCAAGAGCCCACCGACTTCAATCGACGGATTGGGGGGGGCGTCCTCGAAAGCCTTGTGGCTGGGCACGACAAGCAGACGCGGGCGCCTCGTGGATTTGTAGTCGAGCGCCCGGACCTGACCCCTCTCGTCTCCTCCGGAGGTCTGCCGGTCTTCGGGGTGCAGGTGGGTGCGGCGTCTCCCGCCCCTCCAAAATTTTCGTCCCGCCGGCGGAGGCCGAAGGAGACCGGCCCTGCAGGTCCACTGCGGCGGAGGCCATCCGCGTCGTTCCTTTGGATGGCGCCGCCATCGGGGAGGTTGGTTTCGGCGTGGCCGTGGCGAGGGGACCTTAAAGGTCACGGCGAGAGACTTCGAGGGCGCGCCTCGGCTTCTCCCAAACCCAGGCTCTCTAGACGCGCAGGACATGGGCTGCGGGTGATGGGACTTGTAGTCGAGAGTGCCTGGAGGGCGCCGGCTCCGGAACGCGGGTGGGAAGAAACCCGAAATATTTCTTGAGATTGTGCTGAGAGAGAAAACCCAGCCATTGTAGGAGGGACAAGATTACATTGGAAATGAGGCCTCTCCCCTCCCTGTGTACCTGTTGGAAACCTCTGGCCAGAGTGAGGTGGTCTTCTTTTCCCCCTCACTCTTCCCCTTTTGGCCCATTTTGGGTGGAAAGACACCTCAAGAGTTCAGTGTATGTGCAGGTAATGTGTGAATGGGGTGATATTAGAGCACCTAGAGTTCATACACTGCTTGATATTTTAAAATTTCTCCAAGAGGCTAGGTGCGGGTCATGCAGTCCGTGACTTGCCATAGGTGCAACAGGGTGTCTGTCCTTGGCCAATTTTGCCTCAGTACAGTTTAGCTACAATTTACACACTTACACTTGTTTCCCCCCCCCCATGTTTTTGTATAAGAGTTCTTCCTGGAGGAAAAGCGGAATATAAATCTAACAAGTAAAGCGATGGAAATTATTTCTTTCACAGGCCTAATCTTTCTTCAAGGTTAACTGGAAAAACTGGGAAAAACCTGGGGCAAATCTGTGGGAAAGAGTTTGGGGTGGGAATTATCTGTTTGAGATATGATTCCCCTCTCCCCTATGGATTGAGAATCCATGCAAGAGAGAAGTGACAGGCAGATTTTGGGGCTGGATGGGTCACTCAGCTTTCATGTGTCTTGCTCCACTACCTTTATGGATAGCTAGTTCCCACTGTTTTAATGAAGCTTTGTCTGATCTGCTGCCCCTTATCTTGGTTGAACTTAAGTGCCTTAATTCCCAACTAGTAAGGCTTAAAGGCAGAGGTCTTCAAACTTGGCCCTTTTATGACTTGTTGACTTCAACTCCCAGAATTCCTCAGCCAGGCACGCTGAGGAATTCTGGGAGTTGAAGTCCACAAGTCATAAGAGGGCCAAGTTTGAAGACCCCTGGCTTAAGGTATTGGATTTCAGCTCTCACAAACTGCAGTCAGTACTGAACTGAAATCCGTAATTAAAGTTAAACACATGGGTTGGATTCATAAACTATTAAACCATATTTTTTTAGCTACAATTTATTGAATAAAGCACACTTGGCAGGTTCCACACAATACATTAAATTATTAAAAATAGTGTGCTAAACCACTAGTAGTTTTAACCATTAATAGTTGCCTGAGCCTCAATAGATGGATTCCTACAATGCATTAAGCCCTAAGCTATGGTTGACAAGCTGTAATTGTGCCTTATATCTGAAAAACCAAAACCTCACAATCATGTTATGGGTTAGTGTAATATGTGTCTAGAATTTACATGGCCAATTATATTAAATTGCTTAGGCATAGGTGCATCTCTAGATATTGAAAAGAACAATGTGTTTTATCTCTGCTTCCTCAAATGAAGGAAATTCCAGCAATACTAAACAGCTATTTCTGAGGACAGCCTCAATAGAAAGTATTTTAGTAGCTTCTTTTTACCTACCTTATTTCTTTCTAGTACAGTAGTCTTTCACCCCACCAAAGATTATAGCCTGTATTTAGTTCTGTGAGTTAAAACTATTGTCTCTTAATAAAACAGCAAAGAATCAAGCAAGGTAAAAAGAAGTATGATCTCTTAGGCAGAGATTTTGAACCTGAAGATGGTTGTTCGGACAAAAAAGAAAAGTTTTGCAGTTGTGCCTATAAGAATGTGCACTTTTGCAAATTAACTGAATCCTCCAATTCTTTGGGTTGATTTGGCCCAGAAATATATCTTATTAATATGTAAATTAATATCACAAACTAAATCTATTGGTGTAAATAGCAGAAAACTTTAATTACCTAGAATTCTAGCTGTTTAAAAGTAGAAAATGCTTAACTGGTCAAATAAAGCGGAACAGCTGTACTGACATGCTATGCTGAACTTGGTTGATTTTAACCTTGTGTGACATTTTAGTAGCCTAGCGATTTGTCAGAATCCCAGCCTTTTGATTCAGTTTTGATTCACTATATAGGGTGAATCCTGAAAATGAGTTAACTCGGAACTCAGATTAAGCATGTTATATGAATCCAGCTATGTAGAGACTTTGCATTGAAGCTTGCTGACATATGTGTGTGTACGTGCATGTGCATATATTCTCACTGTAGTGCCAACCTCAGCCCACACTACAGCTGTGCCAAGGAGATTTTGGGCACCCACAATGCCCAGCCTGTTTGTTTCATTGCCTGGAGTCAGCGCCCACAATCGGCAAAGACAGGACTCCTTTGTCAAAATCCCAATTCCCGTTGGATTGGCTGAGATGGGGGAATAATTTTTCAATCTTGTACCATTTCTTCCTTGTTCCAGAATTTTCTTAACAAATGGAGGCTGCAGTTCTGAATCTGTTTAATTGAGGTTGTATAACTTCTTAGCGTAGCCTAGTAGAAAAACTTGTGCAAACTGTTAGTATGGGAAAGGAGAGACAAACAACCTGAAAATTAAGAAAGGAGAAATAGGGATTGCTGTTTTATGCAGCAAATCTTTATAGCCCGTTCTTTCCCCCTTATTTTGTAGCATTATGATGTAGACTACTCTTATATAGGGAGGTTCCATATGGGTTAGATATCCTGAGGAAAAGCTGTAAGGGTAAACAATTAAATGGATCAGCCCAAAGTATGAGATCCTATTTCTGATAATAGCTAATTTTTTCTCTCCCATCAGCAGATGGTATTCCAGAATTAAATATAAGATCTATCTTTCGTAACTTTAAAGGCAATATCCTCTAGATATATTGGACAATAATTCCAATTACATTTGGGGATGCTGAGCAAGCGTGGTAGGATTTATTTTCCAGCACAGCTGAAGGGCACCAGATTGGGGAAAGTTGGCTTAAAGGATTCCAAAAGATCTGCCAAGCTAAAATGTACTCAACATACAAGGAACATCTACTAGATCTGTAAACAGGATGTCATACATCGTGTTTCCAAAATGACTTACCAGATGCCTCCGAGAAGCCCATCAGCAAGACAGGAAATTTGCCAACCCCTCCCTGTGTTATTTTCCTGCAGGGATCTGTTAACTGGGAATAGATTTCCTTTGAACAGGGAGTTTCATTTATTTGCTGTTATTCTACGAGCATCAGTGTGACTAGCTTTATCTCCCCATTTTATACAGCTGAGTCTCAAGCAGATCAGAAAGGAATTTTGCCCTTCTTTGAAATGTAGTCCATATTGGCAATAATCAATATGTGTTGATTGGAATCTCAGTGTGTTGGAATCTCAGAAGTGGGCACATACAAAATAACACATCCCTTAGTATCTTAACTCGTGACAGCATAATGATTTCTGAACCAAGATCGTGAAACAAAGAAGAATTTTGTAGAGCAGCTGGTTGCATGCCACAAACTGGAGAAGCACACTAAAGTTCCCAAGAAGTGTAAATTTTTAAAGGAGCACATATTTTATTTACAACACACTCTGCTATAAGAAGTGATGATGGCTACTATATATAAGTAAATAAATCCACATTCATAATTTAGTTTTCAGTCTTTCTGGTCTTGAATAGCCTCCTTTTCATCTAATTTATGTGGGCTGCTCTTGTATTCATTCAGAGGGTTAATATCAATTATTTCATGGTGACTAAATAGAACCACCATATTTACATATAGTATACCTCTGAATAACAAATACGAGGAGTTGTGCAAACAATGTGGGGATTGGTTATGGGGGAAGATGATGCCCAATACTTTGTTCTTACTATGTTGGAAACAAATACAGGTAGTCCTCGACTTATGACCAAAGGTGAGCCCAAAATTTCTGTTGCTAAATGAGACAGTTGTTAAGTGAATTTTGCCCATTTTACGACCTTCCTTGCAGCTGTTATTAAGAGAATCACTGCAGTTGTTGTTAGTAACACACTTGTTACTACTGACTTTGCTTGTCAGATATTCGCAAAAGGTTATCACATAGTCAGGAACACATGATCAGGGACACTACAACGGTCATAAATATGAGTCAGTTGCCAAGTCTCAGAATTTTGATCACATGACCACAGGAATGCTGCAACAGTTGTAAGCATGAAAAATGGGAGTTGAAGTCCACAAGTCATAAAAGGGCCAAGTTTGAAGACCCCTGGTTTAAACTTTACCCAGGTCAGTGGGCTCTTAAGATCCCAGGGAGCCAACAGAACCACACAAGTCTTTTGGCAACACCCACCCAAACACTCGAAGGCTAGTGCTCACTGCCCACACTTTTACTACAGCTCCTATTGATTCAGTGACAGTTCAAAGTCACAATGACACTGAAAAAAATGACTTATGACCGTTTCTCACACTTACAACTGTTGTAGCATCCTCATGGTCACATGATCAAAATTTAGATGCTTGGCAGTTGGCATGTATTTATGACGTTTTCAGTATGCCAGGGTCACGTGACCATCTTTTGCAACCCTCTGACAAGCAGAGTCACTGAACTTAAGTGAATCTCTGCAGTTGTTAAGTCAGTAACACAATTGTTAAGTGAATGTAGCTTCCCCATTGACTTTGCTTGTAGGAAAGTCACAAAAGGTGATTACATGACCCCGGGACACTGCAACCGTCATAAATATGAGTCAGTTGCCAAGTGGCTGAATTTTGATTATATGACCATGGGGATGCTGCCAATGGTCGTAAGCATGAAAAACGGTCATAAGTCACTTTTTTCAATGCCGTTGTAACTTTGAACTAAGTGAATTGTTGTAAGCTGAGGATTACCCAT